GATTCCTAATGAGATAATCATAAAGTGGAGTAGTAGTTCAGCAGTGCCTAAGGGTCGTTTATTTCGTACCTTAAGGAGAGAAAATTAGTTTCAAAGGGGGTGTATCTATCACTTAGTTTGAGTTAATGACTCAAGTGCTAAGGTACCTTTTCTTCAGTCACTTTCTTTAGTGAAAGAGTTTCCAAAAGTCTTTCGTGATGATCTACCCGGAGTTCCTCCTGAAAGGGAGATATACTTCGGCATAGATATCATCCCAAATACTCGTCCTATCTCTATTTCTCCATATAGAATGGAACCAACAGAGTTAAACGATCTAATAGAACAACTGAAAGATTTGTTAGAAAATATTTTCATTCGACCAAGTGTCTCACCTTGGGGCGCTTTGGTCTTGTTTGTAAGGAAAAAGGATGGTTCCTTAGGATTTGTAAAGACTATTGCCAATTGAATAAGGTGACCATCAAGAATAAATATCCTCTTCCAAGGATAGATGATCTTTTCGACAAACTTCACGGTGCTTGTTGCTTCTCAAAAATTGATCTCAAGCTACCATCTGTTGAATGTTAGGTACTATGAAATTCCAAAGAAACTTTTAAAACCAAGTGAGGGCATTATAAGTTTTTACTTATGCCATTTTTTTGGCAAATGCACCAGCATCATCCATGGATCTTATGAACAGAGTCTTCAAAACTTATTTAGATCTGTTTGTCATTGTCTTCATTGATGACATACTGGTTTGTTCAAGGAATGAAGAAGATCATCCTAGTCATCTCTGGATTGTTCTGTTGACTTTGAAAGATAAGGAGCTATATGACAAGTTCTCCAAGTTTGAGTTTTGTCTTAAATCTTGGACATTCTTGGGCCCCATTATTTCAGTTGATAGGGTTAGAGTTGATACCCAAAAGGTAGAAGTAGTTTAGAGTTTGCCTAGACATTCATGTCCAATAGATATAAGGAGTTTCTTGGGTTTGGGTGTCTATTATACGAGGTTTATAGAAAGTTTCTCATATATCTCGTCTCCTTTGACCAAGATAACTCAGAAGACAATCAATTTACAATGGTCTAAAGCTTGTGAGAGAAGTTTTTTGGAACTGAAAAAGAGATTGACTACCGCTACGATTTTGACCTTAGCAAAGGGTACTCAAGGTTATATGGTGTACTGTGATGCATCGAGAGTTAGTTTGGGTTTTGTGTTAATGAAGAATGGCAAGGTGATAGGTTATTCCTCCAGACAACTAAAGGTTTATGAGAAGAATCATCCAACTCATGACTTAGAATTAGCTGCAGTAGTGTTTGCTTTGATAATATGGCGACAATTCTTCGATGGTGTGAAATTGGATCTGAAGGATTTTGGAAAAGAACATTTGGAACACCAATCGGTACCGTTTGGAGACTTAGGAGTATTTCCCCCCATCCTCGCCTCCCCTATGTCTTTCCTCCTGCATTTTTGTGAGGCGCTCGACTTGAAAAACCCTCAGAATGCATCTGTGCAGTTCTCGGTGAATTCTTGAATCACCGTGGAAACCTCCTTGTGATTTTGAATAAGATGCTCCCAATTTTCCAGAGACATATGTTCATGTTGACATATTCATGGATCACGAAATCCTTCAATATGTGTTCACTCAGAAGGACTTAAATCTCAGACAAAGGAGGTGGTTAGAATTACTCAAGGATTATGATATGAGTACTCTTTACCACCCATATAAGGATAATGTGGTTGTTGATTCCTTAAGCAAGATATCTATGGGGATTACCACCCATGTTGAAGAAGAGAAGAGGGATTTAACTAAATATGTGCACAGACTTGCACATCTTGGAGTCAGATTTATGGATTCCACAGAATAAGGGATAGTGGTGACTAATGGAGCTGAATCATCACTATTGTCAGAGGTGAAAGAGAAACAAGACCAATACCTTATTTTGCCTGACTTGAAGGCAAATATTCATAAGCAATGAGTATTGTCTTTTGAACAAATGGGAGATGGAGTACTGAAGTACCAAGGTAGATTGTGTGTACCTAGGGTAGATGGACTCCAAGAGAGGATCCTGAAGGAGGCTCATAGTACCAGATATTCCATTCATCCCGATTCCACCAAGATGTACCGCGATCTGAGAGAGATATATTGGTGGGAAGACATGAAGAAAGATATTGTTGAGTTAGTTGCAAAGTGCCCAAATTCCTAACAAGATAAAGTAGAGCACCAAAGGCCTCATGGTTTGGCTCAAACTATCGAACTTTCGGAATGAAAGTTGGAGATGACTAATATCGACTTCATCACATGCCTTCCAAGATCTCGTAGGCAGCATAATTCTATTTGGGTTATTGTCTATAGAATGACAAAGTCAACTATTTCTTATTGGTAAAGTCTAACTATTTGACTGAGGATTATGCTAAGTTGTACCTTCAATAGGTGATGAGACTTCATGGAGTTTCAGTCTCTATTATTTTAGTTAGAGGTGCACAATTTACTTCAAAATTCTTGAAAATCTTTCAAGAAATATTTGGGTTCAAAGGTGAACTTAAGCACTATGTTTCATCCTCAAACATATGGACATGCATAGTGTAGTATGCATAACATAGATGATATGTTGAGAGCTAAAGTGATCGACTTCAAAGGGAATTGGGATGATCACATACCTCTCACTAAGTTTGCTTACAACAACAATTACCATTCGAGCATCCAAATGTCTCCATATAAGGCTCTTTATGGGAGAAGATGCAGATCTCCTATTGAGTGGTTCAAAGTTGGTAAATCAAGATTAATAAGACCGAATATAGTTCACTAAGCTATAGAAAAGGTGAAAGTAATCCAAGAGAGATTTAGATGACACAAAGTCGTCAAAATCCTACACAGATATTCGGAGAAGGTCGTTAGAGTTTTAGGTAGATGATTGGGTGTATTTAAAAGTTTCACCCATGAAGGGGGTTATGAGGTTTGGTGAGAAGAGGTAACTTAGTCCCTGGTATATTGATCCTTACAGTGTCTCCAAGAGGGTTAGGAATGTAGCATATGAGTCGGAGCTACCCCAAGAGTTAGATGTGGTTCATCTAGTATCCCATGTGTCTATATTGAAGAAATACCTTACCATCCTAACCTTGCTAGAGTATATGACCTGAACTAACTAATGGATCTACTAGTAAACCGCAAAAAGGGTTCATCTAAAAAGTATGAAGGTTTTCTACCCATGATTGTTACATGGTTTTCAAGGAGACTTGAGTTAATCTGAAACTCGCATTCCTACATTGCTGCCCAATACTATTCCCAAAAATATATTGGATTTTATTTTTTAAAAACATATTGATTCTGTAGTTTGAGATTAGTGCTCAAAACATAGCTTTAATAGCTCTCTTGGAAGTCATAGTTATCCTGCCTACTTTATTTCATAAAGCTATTACTTCTCTCTGAACTAGTCGAGGAGTCTTTACTTTTTTAAATATAAAAACACTTGTAACTCTTGGAGATTACTTAGTCCCCTTATAAATTTTGAGAATAAACTCAAACTTTAATCTTACTTAACTTGTAACTCGAGTCTTAAAACAAATTTAAAAAAGTTTGTAAAAGACTGTTGGAAACTTTAAGAACTCACTTTGACTTGCTTCTTAACTTTTATACTTGACTCTTAACTTCTTTGACTTTGATTATAACTTCCCTTGAATGAGATTATCGATTCAAGGATCATGATGTCATGTTTATGGATAATTTTATGATGTCTAGATGTACTTTAGAGTGTTATAATTAACTAGAAACTATAGGTACATCACATAGAAACTCATACACAAAGATAGGGAAAAATGCGATCTCTAGGTGTAACTGGCTCAAGCAGGCGCGGCGCGCCGGGCATTGTGTACCGCCCTGTAAGGTGGTACATTAAAATCCAATGTTTCCAACAAGGCAGCAGCATCACGTCAAAGATCGGAGGGTCAAAATCCTTGCCAAACTACCTCCCAACTGATGGGGGTTTCTTGTAGGCAAGGATGAACTTGCCATGCTCACCAGGTCAGCCAAGAGCTTGAAGACAAAAATCTGTGCAGCAAGTCTGCCAAGTGGAAGTAAAGCAAAGAAGACAAATCTGCCTATTTTTTCAGCCTTGGAAAATCTGCCACATGTAGCCTTCCCTTTGAGAGTTTGTGCCAAACGTTTTTAGCTTACTTAGAAGCTTTGTATATTGTTGTTAGACAGAACATCACTTAGAATACTTTGCATATACTTTGTATCTGCTTCCTTGTATATTCTCTCTTGTAAGGATTTGGAAAAAATATTGAAAATTGGCTTCTTGGCCTCCCAAAGACTTGTCTTTCTTTCTTGCTTTCTGTGTTGTTTGTGGCTGTTTGTGGACTGTCTTGCTTATTGTTCCTTGGGTGTTTGGTTGGACTGAGTTTGAAGAGTCGTGCAAGCCTTCATTACAGTCCCACGAGGTGGAAAATTTTGACCTCGTGACAAGCAGTATCAGAGCAACGGTTGAAGCATGACGTCGAAGTCACAACGTAATGAAGAGGCTGTCCAAGACAAGGAGCTAGAAGTTCGGAAAGAACCTTTCGTGAAACGTGACAAGAGCAAGATAATAAAACCTTCTTGTAACCCTTCTCTTGGGTGTAGAGCTGCTGTTGAAGAAGAGGAAGGTGCGGATAACAACCAACTCGATGAGAGAATCGTCGGAGTTGAGATGGTGTTGTCGCCTTGAACAGGAGGATTGTTGTTGTTGAAAATAACTTTAGTTCCCTCGAATTCGTAGCCATTGAAGGGCTAGACGAGGTGAAGAACAACCTTGTTGAGTTTGAGGATGTTCAAAAGGATGGTCTGTCCACCCTTGAACTCAAGCTTAACGAGGCCATCTCTTCCTTTCAAAGAGAGGTGAAGGCGTTAAGACGGCAGGTTGATGAGGCTGCCGAGACGGGGGTTTCTCCTCCCGTTATTGTCCGTGAAACCCGTATTGAGGCTCCCAAACCCAAGGAATATCATGGGGAAAGGAGTGCTTAAGACGTGAAGAATTTCTTATGGCTGATGGATGCCTATTTTGAGCATGTAGACGTGCACAATGAAGCTGCCAATATCAGAACAACACCCATGTATTTGACGGATACAGCCATGCTGTGGTGGCGCCGGAAGAAGGCAGACATGCAAAGGGGAGTTTGTTGCATTGACAGTTTGGAGCACTTCAAAGTTGAGCTCAAACGTCAGTTCTACCCTCAAAATGTCGTTCACGAAGCTCGTCGGAAGTTGAGGGAGTTGAAATAGACCTCCTGCATTCGGGACTATGTTAAAGAATTCACGAACTTAACACTTCAAATTCCAAGCCTGACTAGTGAGGACTTGCTATTTTATTTTCGAGATGTCCTTCAAAATTGAGCCAAGCAAGCGCTTCAACGACGTCAAGTCAGCGACGTAGATGAGGCGATAGTGGTGGCGGAATCGTTCAACGATTTCCGAGCAGAAGCGGCAAAGGGGAGGGATAACCGGAGCAAAAATATTCCTCCCAAGTTTGACAACAACAACAGGGGCAGAAGCAGACGAATCCAAACAGAGGCAGCGACACGAGAAGCAACACTCGTGATCCACCTTCTAATTTCCGGAAAAATTATGAGGACCGCAAGAAGGGTGCTTCTCATCGGGAAGGTTGCTACATTTGTGGGGAGACGACCCATGCTGCTCGTTACTGCCCTTCCTTGAGAAAACTGAGCGCTATGGTGGCTGCCGAAAAGCAGCAAAAGAGAAAGCTGCAACGCCAATAGGAAGTTCTGCCGGGGAGCAACGAGGGCAAAGTAGCGGGTCAGACAAGGGCAAGAACGTTGTTGTTGGCATGTTCAATCACATGGCGTTGATAAACCATATTTCTATTGCTGCTTTGGCTGCCAAACCAGCTAGTATCAAGCCGAGGGAATCCCTATTCGTTTATGCCAAATTAAATGGCAAGAACGTGCGGATTATGGTGGACACCGGGGCAACACATAACTTCGTGATGGAGCAGAAGGCCAAGGAGCTCGGCCTTAATTATGGTGCAAGCAATACCAAACTGAAGACAGTCAATGCCACTCCCACTTCCGTCCATGGCATTGCTCCTAAAGTCCCCATTGATTTAAGAGAGTGGACAGGGCAGACTGACTTCACCATTTCCCCCATGGATGTGTTTGATGTAATCTTGGGGCTGGTTTTTTGGTATAAAGTCAACACATTTATCTCCCCGCGTCATAATCAGTTGCACATCAGCGACACCGGAGGTTCGTGCGTGGTACCCCTTATTCGGGTACCACAAAATGGGATGCATCTATCGGCAATGCAACTTATTAAGGGTGTTAAGAGAGGCGAACCAACCTTTCTTGCTACCCTTGTTGGAGGCGTCGAAGACTTCCCCGAGGCAGTTCCATTGCCGCATTGCATTGAGAGGGTCCTTAGCAACAACAAGGACGTGATGCCAGAAGAGCTTCCCCAACGGTTGCCACCCCGAAGGGAAGTTGATCACCAAATTGAATTGGTTCCCAGGGCAAAACGGCCTGCCATGACGCCTTATCGTATGGCGCCCCCAGAACTGGAAGAGTTGAGGAAACAACTCAAGGAGTTGCTTGATTGTGGACACATCAGGCCGTCCAAGGCGCCGTTTGGTGCACCTGTTTTGTTCCAAAAGAAGAAGGACGAGACACTTCGTTTATGCATTGACTACCGGGCCCTCAACAAGGTTACGATAAAGAACAAGTACCCCGTTCCCTTAATTGTTTATTTGTTTGACAGATTGGGACAAACCAAGGTGTTTACGAATATGGACTTGAGAAAGGGTTATCACCAAGTACAGATTGCCGAAGGTGATGAACCAAAGACTGCTTGTGTAACGCGCTATGGTGTATTCGAGTGGCTGGTTATGCCCTCTAGGTTGACGAATGCACAGGCAACGTTCTACACCCTGATGAACAAATTGTTCCACCCATACTTGGATCAGTTTGTGGTTATTTACTTGGACTACATCATCGTTTATAGCAACAGTATGGAAGATCATGTGGACCACTTGTGCAAAGTGTTCAAAGTCTTGCGCGACAACAAACTGTACGTGAAGCGAGAGAAATGCAGCTTCGCCAAACCGACTGTCCAATTCCTCGGGCATTCAATCAGCCACGTCGAGATACGAATGGAAAGCAACAAGGTGGATGCTATCAAAAATTGGGAGGCTCCAACGAAGGTACCAAAATTGAGGTCCTTCCTTGGCCTTGCCAATTACTATCGTCGCTTAATTTTCAACTACTCAGCAATTGTAGCTCCTCTCACGGATTTGCCGAAGAAGGATCGTGATTGGAATTGGTTGGAGGCTTTTCAAGCTTCCTTCGAGAGGCGGAAGGCTGCTGTGACGATATAGCCTGTTTTGGCCTTGCCGGATTTCTCTAAGGCATTCGAAGTCCACACTGATGCGTCGGACTTTTCTATCAGTGGCGTCCTAATGCAAGAGGGCCACCCAATAGCCTTTGAGAGCAGAAAATCGAATGAAGCGGAGCGGAGGTATTCGGCTCACGAGAAGGAGATGACGGCCGTAGTTCACTGCCTTCGAACGTGGCGTCACTATGTATTGGGTGCTCCCTTCGTCATTAAGACGGACAACGTCGCGACGACGTACTTCCAATCCCAAAAGAAGTTTTCCTCTAAGCAATCCCGTTGGCAGGACTTCTTAGACGAATTCAACTTCACTTTGGATTACAAGCCAGGGAAAGCGAATGTGGTTGCCGACAGACTTAGCCGCAAGGCTTCTTTGGCTGCTATTGTGAGCTCGAGTTGCAGCTTGCTGGTTGACGAGATTAAAAAGGGCTTACAACATGATCCAGTAGCCAAACAACTCTTTTCCTTGGCCCAACAAGGCAAGACAAAAAAGTTCTGGGAGGAAGGTGGCCTGTTCTACACAACGAGCAGGCGTGTGTACGTTCCGAAGTGGGCTAACCTTCGGCGTACGTTGATTAAGTAGGGCCTTGATTCTGCTTGGGCTATTCATCCGGGGCAGAAGAGAACCTTAGCATTGATAGATGCTTCCTACTATTGGCCTTGGATGCGGGACGACGTCGAGGCATATGTGCAAACTTGTCTCATTTGTCAACAAGACAAGGTTGAGACAAAGGTGCCAGGTGGATTGTTGGAACCGCTGCCCATTGCCGAAAAGCCTTGGGATAGCATCACAATGAACTTCATCACTTGCTTGCCGAACTCGGAAGGGTTTGGGACGATAATGGTTGTGGTGGATCGCTTCTCCAAATATGCTACCTTCACTGCCACGACGGCCAACAGCAAGGCCAAAGAGACTGCCCAGATCTTTTTGCGTGACATTGTTAAATACTGGGGTATCCCCAAGCATATCATCAGTGATCGGGATCCTTGGTTTACTGGCTCATTCTGGATGGAGTTATTCAGCTTATTGGGGTCGGAGTTACACTTCTCGACCAGTTTTCACCCTCAAATAGACGAGCAAACTGAGCGGATCAACGCACTGTTGGAGTGCTACCTGCGGCACTATGTTACTGCCAACCAGAAAGATTGGGCCAAGCTGCTGGACACTGCCCAATTCTCCTACAACTTGCAGTGAAGTGAGGCGACGGGAAGGAGTCCTTTCGAGTTAGCGACGGGGCAGCAGCCAAATACACCCCAATCCTTGCCCATTGATGCTGGTTTCAAAAGTTCGGGTGCTTATCAGATGGCGAAAGCCTGGGAGGAATAGGTCGACCTTGCACGGTCGTATCTTGACAAAGCATCCCGGAAGATGAAGAAATTTGCTGATTGCAAGCAACGTTCGATGGATTATCAAATTGGGGATCGAGTTATGGTGAAACTCAACCCAAGGCAATTCAAGTCGTTGCGAAGTGTGAATCAAAATTTGATTCTCAAATATGAGGGGCCATTCGAGATTACTGCCAAGGCTGGCAAGATTTCGGATCGGGTTGACATGCCTCATCACTTGAAGATTCACCCCGTCTTCCATGCTAGCCAATTAAAGCCTTACTTCGAAGACAGGGAAGATAAAGAGCGGGGGTAGGCCGGGAGAGCCAGAATCTTCATTACACCGCCTACAGTGGACAAGCAAATTGAAGCCATCATCGATCATCAGCTTATCCGGGGAAAGGGCTGGAACAACTCTAGTTCCCAGTTTCTAGTTCACTGGAAAGGGACAGCACCGGAGGAGGCAACTTGGGAAAAATACGATGATTTGTGGCAGTTTCGTGACAAAGTCCACCAGTACTTGCAGTTGTGTGGCGTCGGGGTCATCGCCAATTCAGGCGGGGGAGCGTGTACCGCCCCGCAAGGCAGTACATTAAAATCCAACGTTTCCATAAAGGCAGCAACATCACGTCAAAGATCGAAGGGTCAAAATCCTTGCCAAGCTCCCTCCCAAACGATGGGGATCTCTTGTAGGAAAGGGATGAACTTGCAATGCTCACCAGGCCAGCAAAGAGCTTGAAGACAAAAAATCTGTGCAGCAAGTCTGCCAAGTGTCAGTAAAGGATGGAAGAAAAATCTGCCTATTTTTTAGCTTTTGAAAATCTGCAACATGTAGCCTTCCCTTTGAAAGTTGGTGCCAAACGTTTTCAGCTTAGTTAGAAGCTTTGTGTATTGTTGTTAGACAGAACATCACTTAGGATACTTTGCATATACTTTCTATCTCCTCCCTTGTATATTCTCTCTTGTAAAGACTTGGAAGAAATATTGAAAATTGGCTTCTTGGCCTCCCAAAGACTTCTCTTTCTTTCTTGCTTTCTTTGTTGTTTGTGCCTGCTTGTGGACTGTCTTGCTTATTGTTCCTTGGGTGTTTGGTTAGACTGAGTTTGAAGAGCCGTTCAAGCCTTCATTAGTGTCCCACGAGGTGGAAAAATTTGACCCCGTGACAATTGGCAAACATTGGCTTCCTTGAGAGGCTATGGTAGGCGCAGCGCCCCAGGTCTGTAAAATGGGATTTCCGACTTTTCTTCTCTGATTTTCAATTCTAAACCTTTTAAACTCCCATATCTCACCCTCAAACACTTAGGAACACTAAAATCCTCAATACTCAATAGTTTAAACTCGTAAAATAGCCCGAAAACACTAATCAAACAACCAAATGTATATTAAAACTCAACCAACAAAAATTCAACAGTTTTTTTTTAAAAAACTTTAAAGTTCATAATTTTCTCTACTCTAATTACGCTGAATTAAATTTATTATTGTGTTGGTGGAAGAAACCATCACAGAACTATCTTATATACCATGAAGGGATCACTCCCGAAGAAACTCACTTAACTATCTTGGCAAAATCTCGGTATTTTCTCCTTTCTCCTTATTCTCTTCTCTTTTCTCGCAACCCCTAACTGTATTCAATCTTCTAAAAAGTTAATTAAGGCTTAAGTTTACCTTTAATAAACCCTCAAAACAAACTAGGAAATAGTAGAGTGAAAATACCACTTTAACCTTACTAAAATCCGGATTGGAATTTTCTCAATCCAACAACCCAACTTCTAAAAGGCATATCTCCCTGATACGCTATTGAAAATTCCAAAACTTAGTGAAGTTGAAAAGATATATTCAAGGGCTTTCCAACCATATAAATAATTTACCCTAACTAATCTCGAGATAGATGTTAGGACCATTCGAAAATGACCAAAAACTTACTTTACACTTTAGGAAATTTTCCAGATTTCTCTTATTCTTTTAAAAAATGATTGTTCTTAGTTCTTTGTTTAATAGTAGCTATTTTGATTTACGATATGTTACATTTCGATTAAGACTCAGATAATTAAATATTAATTATCACACAATAAGATATAGAGCTTTGCTTAGCGGTCAAATCTACTATGTTTGATGATTCTCTTGTATGAGAATATTGTTCTAGTTTCCTTTCTCCTGGTATTTTTTTTCTATTAGAAGATTTCCGCTTATAAGTGTGATTAATGTACTTCAACTGGGATAAAATATATCAAACCTTCAACAAATGGCGTTATGCCCATATTACATCAAATAGAACTAGGTAAGGCTTTTTTTCGTTTTTGGTCTCTATTCCCTAAGACTCTCTTTCGAAACGATATGGCTACTATAAGTTCCTTATGATATATTTTGGGTATAATAATGGACCTATAACCTTTATAGGCTAGATGAAGTGGTCGCCCAGTCCTTATCTTGATTGATATGTCATAGTTTTCATTGATGATATTCTTGTATACTCGCAGGGCATTAGTGATCATGAGCAACATTTGAGGATTATTCTCAAAACTTTAAGATATCACTGTGTTTATGCAAAATTTTCAAAATGCAAGTTTTGTCTCGAGTCTTTTGCATTCTTGGGGTATATAGCGTTCAACTATGGTATCATGGTAGATACGACATCCATAATTCACCTAGGTATACTTTAGCTAATAAGATTCAAAGCATTGTCGGATTGAAAAAATACAACAGGTAGATTGTGAAGGGTTTCTTTACTATTGAATCACCCATGACACAATCAATTCTTCTTAATTTTCCTTTTAAATGTTCTGAGTATCGTGAGATTATCTTTCAAAATGTCAAGGACTTGCTTACTACTGCTCATATATTGACTTGTCTAGTTGAGGATGAGGTATTTAAAGTATATTATGATGCATACGACATTGTTTTGGGTTGTGTGTTGATGCAATTGGGAGGGGTTATTGCTTAAGCATTGAAGAAACCTAAGCTACATGAGTGAAACAACCCCACTAATGCGTAGGACTTGGTGGCGGTAGTTTTAGCGCTTAAGATCTTGACGAACTAATCTAAACTGATCACATGAGTCTTAAATATATTATGAGCCAGAGGGACCTTAATGCAAGGTAATACCACTAGATTGAGATCTTGAAGGACTATGACATATCTATTCTCTATCATTTTGGAAAGCGAATAGGGTAGCATATGCCTTGAGCTAGAAAGTGGTGATTATGGGTAGTCTAGCCTATTTTCAACTTTGGATCATTCTTTATCTTAGGATATTCTTCTTGTGGACAATAGGACAATTCTATTGGATATTTAAAATTCTAGGTGTATTTTGGCGTAGATGAGGGATTAGTCTCCCTTGCTTGATCAGGTTCACTGTATCATTTTTAGGATGAGACGTTGATACATCTTCAGATATGTTGTTGGAGGGTGATTCATACTCTCTAAAATTTAGATTGGGTATTGAGATTTACTTACCAATTTGTGTTTCGAGAGTTTGGAATTCGATACAATTTATACTTTGTGAGACCCATAATTCTAGATATCCTATCCATCTAGGCACCGAGAAGATGTATTGTGATTTAAGATATGATTATTGGTTGAGCAACTTGAAGAAAGATATTGTAGACTATATGTCCCATTGCTTGTGTTTTGAGCAGGTGAAGGCCAAACATTTGAAGCCTT